ATGATACATGTTTAAACAAAATCACGAAGAATAAAGAGTACGGCCTCCAGACTAAAATGAGAATGAAGATCCTAGTTTCATATGGTGAATTCATAAGCGTCATGCCAAATGAAAATCCAGCTAAGGCGATAAAAATAGGAGCTAACCTCCCTAACTATGTGGAAAGAGACATCATCAAGTGTCTTAAAGCAACACTAATTTTTGCATCATTTTCTCATATGTGATGCTTGATATTGACTGTTACATTGTTTGCCATTAGTTGAACATTGACCCCTCTATCTGGTACGCAGTCCATAGGAAAGGCGGAAGTCCTCAAATTATGTGAGATTGCACGTGTACCTCGACAACAAAGCACGGGGGCATATGTTTTCTCCAAACTGGAAAGCATGAGAGTTGATGGTATCAATCATTCTCTCATTCATGAGACACTCGATAAACCTAGCCTCTTCACACCAAATATGGTATGGAACCATGTGCTTGCAGGTATAATCAAAAAGATCATGGATAACAATACTCAAGAAGCAAATGCTTAGCCTTGATGATATCATGGTTTTGATGATGAAAACACCGAAAGTAGTAACAACACTTGAATTGCTTTTTATGATAAAAATGTATAAACATAAATAAGTACTAAAGCTAGATCAAGTGGTCAAAGATGTATAACATGGTTGATCAAGTTATTCCTCTGAATCAAGTTAAAGACGTAGCATTTATAATCACCAGTGTTATCTTTACACCTCTCTAATGATGGTGACTAACTTGAGGATATCTCAAGAAGATTCAAGTGAAGTGCTTATATGATTGGTATATATTGCAAAAGGACTTGAAGCTTTAGAGTGTGGAAGAGAAAAAGTGTGAATTCTCGCCTGATTGTGTATGAGTGATCATTATATTGTAAAGAAACAAGGGCATTTCTGGAAGTAGTATGGATAAATCGCACACACGCTACAAACTATTTTTGAATCCTCTCTTTTTCAATTAAAATGACCAAACATGTTTTTGGAGCCTAGCTACTTGACTAGTAAATTATCAAATTGATTAGAAGACTCATTAGATATTTTTCCTAATCATTTAGATAAGGGATAATCGAGTCTATAGTCAATTTTGACAATTTCTTAATGAATGGTAACGTCTCTCTATCAAAATCTTCCAATTTGGGTAGTAATAATCGATTATTGCAAGCACCTCATCGATTAGATCATTTAATTGGCTTATGGATTATTTTAAAAAATACATCATTTCTTGTCCTATAAATAGAGGGTTTCCCAAAAAATTTAAATAAACTAGAAAACATGAAATACCTCATTTTTTATTTGTCTCAACCTCTCTAAATTATTTCTTCTTCTCTCCCATATTTTAGCCATAATATTTTAAGAGCATTCTAAAGTTTAGTGAAAAAATTGTTTTGAGAGAGTGCTTTATTGTAAATTTACCAAGAATTATTTTTCCTATTGAGTAAATAATTATTCCTTAGGAAGTAATTATTTTGATTTGGAGCTAAATCTTGTAAAAGCTCTTTTGGAGATTAGTATAAAGTCTTTGTTTGGTTCGTGAGCTCTGCCATTGAAGAAAAAATCTCTTTTAGGTTCGTAAAGAATAACCAGAGACAAATATTCACAACGGTTTGGTCAAAAGTATTTATCGGTTTGAGATCAACGTAGTATAAAATCTCACTCGATTTTTGAGTTCAGCATGTGTAAAAGCTTAATAGGTTCGAGATCAACCTGATATAAATCTCAGTTCAATTTATGGTCAGCCCGTGTAAAACCTCTGATACATTTGGAGGGTAGCCAACTAAAAACTACATCTTGGTTCAAGGTCACCTTGTGCAAAATCTCAGTTTGGCTAAGAGACTAACCGCTCGAAGCTTTGTTCGTTGTTTTGCATGAAGACTAACCACTTCATTCCTCAACTCATCATTTGGTTTGAAGTTAGACTGAAACTTCATTTTCTTTGTATAAGGGGGTTCGTGGGCTTAACCCTTTAAAAGATCTCAGGAATTATTTGATACTCTCAAGATCAATTCTTGGAGAGAGGAGCAGGTCACTTCCTTAAGACCCAACCCTTATAAATTCATGGTATCACTCTCACTTACCTTAACTAATTTACTTTCTACCTATTTTATTTACCTTGATTTTCCACTGCATATCCAAACGTTTTTTAGAAAATATTTTCAAACTCTGATTTAGAAAACTATTTTGTATTAAACTATCATTTTTCAAACCTCCATAATTCACTCTCTTCTTGTGTATGGAGTCACATGATCAACACATGGTAGTTTCCATGACTTTCGGTGCCATGTTCCCCTCATGGATAACATTTATAATGGCGTATATCGATATTTGAGTCCTTACAACAGATACCACTGAGGTAAATCTAATGAACAAAGAGCATGTTCATATTTAATTGTAGGATGAAAGTTGTACAAAAGACTCATATGCACACCCCCTTACTAAAATTCCTAGAGGGGGAGGAAGTTGAGTGCATTATCCTTGAAGTCCATGAAGGCATATCGAGGCAACACATGGGAAGAAGATCCCTTGCTAAAAAGGTTCTCAGAGTTGAATATTATTGTCCTTCAATATTCAAAGATGTTAAAAACTACGTCAAGAAGTGAAAATAGTGTCAGAAACATGGGGATATTCACATCGCCCCTTCATCTGAGCTCAACATGTTAACTACATCATGGTCGTGCTCCCAATGGAGCATGGATATCCTTAGTCCTTTCCCATTGCCTCTGGGGAAACTAAATTATTTTATTGTATTTATAGACTATTTCACCAAATTGATCAAATCATAAGTCCTTAAAAAGATCACAAAAGCCAATGTCAATAGATTCTTCAAGAGGAACGTCCTAGACATGTATGACATTCCTTGATTTGTTATCACAAACAATTAAACTCACTTTACTATTAAGAATTTAAAGAAGCTCTTTGAGTATCTCAGAGTCAAACACTATTTTACGTCAGTAGACCATCCTCGAACCAATAGACAAGTTGAAGTCGCCAACAAGGTACTACTAAGAGGGCTGAAGAGAAGACTCGATGAATCTAAATGAAATTGGGTTAATGAGCTATTGTGTATTCTATAAGAATACCATATTACGCCCTATTCAAAATCCATAGAAAAACCTTTCAAGCTCACCTATAACACCGGTGTCATTATTCCCATTGAAGTAAGGGGAACTAAAATAGATGATATCACACCCCTCACAAGGAGAAGATAAATAGTAAGAAATCATGAAAGAGTTGGACTTATTAGATGAGAAATGATACTTTTCTGCCGTTGTCCAATCATTTTTGTCTTCAGCCGTTGTCTAATCCTTTTTCAAACTTCACGGTTTCAATGTTATCTTCAGTTGTGATCTTGGGATTAGTCCATCCTTTTATGATGATTTTTCAAGTCTTGTTGTCAATTGACTTAAGAAAGGTAACCATGTGAGTCTTCTATTAGTCATAATCCGTACCATCGATTCACAGATCTTCCTTGTTTGGCATTGTCCGTCTTGATTAGAATATAGATAAAACCTTTGAGCTCACCCAACTAGAATATGGTGTCTGCTCTGATGCAAATTGAAATTCTATTCGATCAACAACAAGATGTCACACACAATATTGAGACAATGTATGAGACAATATGTTGAACAAGAAGCGTAGAACAAATAAACAAACTAAATAACATATATAGTCGTTTATCTAGTTCGGTGCAACATGACTTACGTCTAGAAGCCATCAGCCAAATGAAAGGAAATCCACTAATCGGTAGTCAATAGTACATAACAGTCTCATATGAACTCTTTCGGCCTAATGCCTTTTTTCTAACACTACCTATAAATTTTGAACCAAACTCCCCCTGAATCTGAGACTCCTCATTTTCACTCAAATACTCTCTCAAGTGTTTACAAGATAACAATTATATGTAGCGTAATAAATTATAATTACCACCAAGTACTTTATCCTTCTAACTTAAGAAAGACACCCAAGAATAGTATTACAAACAAAATACATATACTCAATAGAAATAGAAAAGCGGCACACTAAAAACTTCAAGTTCTGAGACTTCAAATAAGGAGAATCATCTCCTTATATCAATCGCAATCCAGTCGAAAATGATAGTAAGGTTTTGAAGGAAAAAACAGTTGAATTCAAAAAGCGCAAATTCAACTTTTCTCCATTAAAACAAATCTGAATCTTGAATAAAAACAAATCTAATTAAATCTTTATCTGACAGTTATAAGAATTTCCATAATCTTTATCAAACGGATTAAGATTAAAATCTTTTCCAAATATAAGTTATTTGTCATACTTCTGATTGGACCAAAACCAAAACAAATCTTTGAACAAAACGCTTAAGCAATAATCAAACCATTAGAGCATGCGCGCCAGAGTTAAACTGAGACAAAATATCTCAAACTAAATCAGAACATCTTACTTAACATATTGTCAGAAAAAAAATTGTCAATCAAATATCATATCAAAATTAAATTTTTTTAAAAACTAAAATTTTAAAAAGATAAATTATGATTTAAAATTAATATTTTTTTTTTTAAAATTGTAGGAAGGTTAGTACAGATCGAGGGGAGTTAGGTATAATTCTCTATTTTTAGATGTTAGATAATACTACTTCTCCAAATGAATTTAATTATTATATATTTTCAGTATAAAAAATTACAAACAAATTAATAATTGTGAAAATGAAGGAAACACAATTGATTCTTTGGGAAATTTATAGTATTTCCCATTGCTGATAATAGTTATGGATTATCAAAGCAAAATGAAAACTATATAATAATATATAAAAAATGTATGATTCAAGTTAAGAGAGAAAAGTTTCAAACAAAAAATCCTTTTTTCAACTCTACCAAGAGAGCTTCAAGGAACAATTCAAGCCAAAATCTACTCTACTTTGAACTCCCTTCAACCAAAGCTTATTCTCCTACAACTTATTTACACAAAACAAACCAAAAAAAAACAACAACTTCATCAATGTTTTGCAGAATGTTATTTCTCTTGAAGAGAGATAACAGTTTCAAATGCACCAACCAATGCTTTAACCTTACTCTTCCTAGCCTCAACAAGTTTACTTGCAGTTTCCTCGATCACATTGTTAAACAATCCTTGTGCATCTTTCTTGTCCTCAAAACTTTGGTGTCTCAGCACAACTTTCTCTTTAACATTTGCTTTCTCTACCAATGTTTTCGCTCTCCGAAATTTAAGCTTTCTTGGAGTATTTCTCTCACTTTGATCATCAACCATTTTCCCTCTTCTGAACTTTAACTTTGTCATTTCGCAATCCTTGTCTTCCTCTTCCTTAACCTTTCTCTGCTTGCCTATCTTCTCGGCCATTAAAGTCTCATTGTTTACAATGCTTTCGATTTCAGAGTTTCCCGATAAAGTGTCCACCTCATATTCACTAGTTGTGTATTCAGATTCCTCATGGTTTTCTTCGGATAAGGATTGAGTAACTGAGGTTGAAGAAGACTCAGGCGTCAACAACTGAGGGAGGTACGATTCATCATCGTAGCTTATTACCTTTTGATTAGATTGCAAAGTTTTGTTTTCAGTTTCCATCTCGATGACGTACAAAGTCTTTTCCTTTGCCTCATGGATTTTGTTTTCCTCGAGTTCGACTTTTTTCAAAGTCTTCTGATTCCTTAGATTGTTGTGTTCCTCAAGTTCGACTTTTTTCACAGCCTTCTGATTCTTTAGAGGAGACACAATTTTCAGGTTCTGGTGCTTTTTAGAGGCTCTAGGAGATGACAAAGCTTTTATTGGTACTATCAGTTTTCTTGGAGATGCTTTGAAGGAAGCTACTTTCTTTTTCGTCTTGATCTCGTTACTTCCTTTGTCGCCAAAGCCTTCTAAGGATTTCATAGAGGATGATACATTGTTCCTTGCTACGCGAATTGAACTCAAAGACGTCGAAGGCTTTGCCAACAACTTCCCATTTGAAGAAGGTAAATGTGATGAAGTTCCTTCCGTTTTGGAAGTAGATTTTGATGAAGTTTTGACTTTGGAGGTTGAATTTGAAGGATTTTCCACTTTCTTGAGAATTGATTTTGGCACAGCTTCCACCGGGACGACAGTTGATTTTGACGGCACTTTGAATTCAGAAATTCGTTTTGATATACTGTCAACCTTCGAAGTGGATTTTGAAGGAGTTTTCACCGTCTTCGAAGTTGATTTTGACGGAGTTTCAACCTTCCTAGACGCTGATTTTGATTGCGATTCCATCTCCTTATCAGTTGATGAAGAAATTTCTTGACTTGTTGATGGAGAAGTATGCGACTTTGATACGAGTGATGGTTTGACCTCAACAGACGATGTTTTCTTCCTGTTTTTGGCATCTAAGGCATCAGAAGTTCGAGCCTTGGAATAGACTGCTTCTTTGAGTACGACCATTGACATCTTTGTCGGTTTAGAATCAGCCGATTCTTCGAGTACGTCTGCTGACATCTTTGTTAGCTTTGAATCAACCGATAGTTTGGACTTAGCAATCATCCCACCGATGCTCTCTCCGCGAGTCTGGTAAAGTTGTTTTCTCGTGGCTCTGTTAGGTATCGAGCGTCTTTCCTTCGGATCAAACGAATGGTTCCCCCCATATTTACAAATATCATGACACGAACCGGTGGAAGCTCTGAGATAACGCGGAACAATTTTTTCATTGCTTTTTCCGGAGCCAGCCTTACCGATAGAGCACCTTCGTTTTTCAACCACCGGCGGTGACGTAGTTACCTCCGGGGTAACTGGTAATTCAGCACTTTCACTTGCCATCAGACGAAAAACTGAAATGCACAGACAAGCACAACACGATTAGAGACGAAAATCCTGAAATTCGAAAAGAAATCGGATTCTAAATACATCAAATAGTTAAAATCATAACATACATTCACTTATGTTATTATTATAAAAAATAAAAAAAAAACATACATGGAAAAAAATTAATGCAACAAGGACTAATCATAATTAATAATAATTGATCATAATCAAAAGAAAAACCAGTAATCATACTTCAATAAACAACATTATGATCATCATAATTATGAAACTTTAACTGAACATGATGGAAAAGAAAAAAAGCACTTATCATTATCAATCACATTAATCATGAAACCAATCAATGATCTAAATTAATCAATGAAGATTCAGAAATTGGAATCATAACATCAATCCAAATTCATCCACAAAAACAAAAATCATCATACATTGATCATTACATCACAAAATCCATATCAAAACCTAATAGCCAAGAATATCACAAATTCCAAATTCAAATTCAGAAAACAAAAAAATCAGATAAACCCTATTCCCAAAAATTCTGAAAAATCCATGAAAATCAATTAAAAATCAAAATTTGAAACCAACCCAATTGCATTTAGGGAAAAACAACAGCAACCCAGATCATGAATTTTGTTGGGAATGATGAAGAAAAAGTAGAAAATATGATACCTTGTTTTCAGAAAAAAGAAAAAGGATGATTCTTGAGAAGAAAGAAAATGGTGTGAGAAAGAGAGTATAAGAAGAAAGTGAAAATGGTTATGAGAGAGAGAGAGAGAGAATTGAATTTTTAGAATTTTAAATTTTATTTGATTTTATTAAAATATTTAAATATAGGTAATGAGAAATTAATTAATGCTAACAAAATAAGAAACCTAATTAAGGACTTTAGGAATGAATGGTCGGTTTGGTTGGTGAGAAAGTGTGGGTGAGTCAAAAATTATAAAATAATTTCCTAAAAATTTGTTTTGAAAATATAAATAAATATTTAATTTTGAGTATTCTTTTTCCTATTAAGTGATTTTGTTGTATTTTAAATGAGTATCATAATCTTTGAGTGAATCATATAGGTGAAAAAGTTTTTGGTCAAGAGTTTTAAATATTGTTGCATTTTTGGATTTTTGACTTTGAAATATTAGGTTAAATTCAAAGAAATATTTGTCATAAGGTGTGTAGTTTCATGTGAATGTTTTTTATTTTCTTATTTAGTTATGTGAATATAGTTTTTCTAAAGAAAGGTTAAATTATTTATTTACTTTAATCTTAATTTACTCAAAAGTTAGATAGTGTGAAAATAAAAATAAAAAATGGAAGTATTTATGATTGTGGATTGTGAATTTTTTTTAAATTGGTAGAATAATGTTGCATCAAACTATTTTGAGTGATATTTTTAAAAAATATATTTGATTAATATTAATTGGTTGCCTAAAAAATTATACATGCATCCAATGATATATTTTTAAAAAATAATACCAAGATAACATTAGGCATATGTGGCAATCAGAATATATTTATTACTATATTGGCTCTTATATATAAAATTACTTTGAAGGTTTATTTTTAAGAAAAAATTTAAAATTTTAGTTGTATTAATTATATTTCTCTTAACACCCCTAAAATGTTAATTAATAATTTTTTACTACTCTAATGTAAGTATTAGTTTATTTTCTAACATAAAAAATAAATCTATATGAATAATATTTGTCAATAAATTTAATATTTTTATTAATTTTTATTAATATTTTTAATTATTATAATTTTTTTTATAGTTTATTTAGAGACTGGTCTAGTGCTATCTTTAAAATCTAAGTAAAAATAATTGTATTTATTCTAAATTTAATTATATATCACCATTTAGATATGTATACTTTTTTAAAAAAAATATTGGTATAACATGACATATTGCTAAAATTGAATAGTACATGTTTCATGTTTTTTTACACTTTTAGTTATAATTTTATTAGTTGATAGTTTCTTCAAAATATTATTATTCAATTTAAAAATATTCTTTATAGTATTTATTGATTTGTTCAAAGTATATATATATATATATATATATATATATATATATATATATATATATATATATATATATATATATATATATATATATATATATATATATATATATATATATATATATATATATATATATATATATATATATATATATATATATATATATATATATATATATATATATATATATATACTTTGAACAGTTAAATTTATCCATATAATTAAATTAATAGTTAACGACTTTATTAAGTGGGCTAAATTTACTTGGTCAAAAAAAGAAGAAAAAAGTAGGTCAAAATGTACAAAATTTAATAAAAACTTGAAATTAATAAATATATAACTTATAGACAGTTTTAAAATTTATACACGTATATCTAATAATAATAATTTAAGATGTCATTCGTTATGTTATTTCAAAATATATTTTTAGTTATTTATACGATTTGATGAATGTATAATTTTTTAAAGGTGTTATATTTAAATTGAAAATTTGTTCGCTAACCATTTTTTTTGGTGTAGTTATTAGAAATATTTGCGATGCGATTTCGACTATTTTGAAGTAAAAAATTATTCGAACTGTAAGAGAAAAATATGTGATTTAGTTTTGTTCGATTAACTTTTAAAAATAAATTCGAACCAAATCAAACCAAACTAATGCGGTTTGAATTGGTTCGATTGATTCAATTTTTACAAAAAAAAATTATTAATCCATATATAAAAATATAGAGGATAATATAATTTAGTATTTAATTATTCATACGTTACTATAAAAAAAATTATAATTATTAAAATAAATTTATAATTTGATACATAAAATTGCGTATTATAATTTTATCTAAATTTAAAGAATGATATAGACAAAATTACATTCTTAAATAAATATTATAGAAAGAATACGATAAAATATATTTTGTGAAAATAATATTTATAAATAAATAATATTTTATTTTTTTATAATTTATAAATTAAAATAAATATACTACAAAATATAATAAAATATATATATAATACATGTTAATTTCTCTAAATAATTAAAGAAATATATATTAGTTAGTAAGATTTTATAACATAATGCGGTTTTGTTTTGTTTGATTCAGTTTGTAAAATATAAACCGCAAATCGAATCGAACCGTACAATTCTATGAGAAAATAATTCAAACACATTCGAACTAGATATAATTTTTTTCAGTTTTAATTTAATTTAGTTCGATTTTATAATTTTCTATTCGACCGATTTAATTTTGAACACTCCTAATAATTGTTACATAAAATGTTGTGCGGAGAATAAGCAAAAATAAAAAGATGGAATTCAACTAATAATGAGTCATGCAATTTATTTCAAAGTACATGCATGAGGATTAAAAGGTGCATTCATTAATGAAGATGAAAAAAAAGTGTTATTTGACTTGAGTCTTTTTGAAAAAATGATTTGAATAGTATTTTAGATTTTTGCTTAAAAGAAAATTTAAAAAAAAAATTCAAATGAAAATTTGATGTAAATATCAATTTTATTTTACATATTTCAGTATTTTTTTAAAAAAAAATAGAGGGTCTAAGTTTGAAGAAAATAAGACACAACCATAGACAATTCAACATTGTTATTATTGTTATCTGAAATCGACTGAAAAAAACATAATTCGATTTAACACTACACTCAATATCAGCTAACATATATGTACATTTGTTAGCCTCTCTATAAGAATGACACACATGAACATCTTCAAAATTTTCCAGCAACTTTTGAATTTGACTGATTAACCTCAAACTCTCCCGCTTAGTAGAACAACATTTCTCAATAGCCTTGACTAACAAACTTTAATCAACGTGAATCTCTACTTAAGATAAGCCAAAAACAATAGAAGCTTGATGCCTTTAAAAAGACCCCCACAAGTTAGCCATGAAGCAATTGCATTCACCTAAGAATCTAACAAAACCTCTCATTTAGTTACAATTCTCATCTCCAATAACACCACCACATCTTGTTGTATTATTATCTTTCTGAAACATATCTACGTTTAGCTTCACCCAATTGCACTTCAGAGGTGACCAAGCGATCCACTTAATCTCTGTCTCTCTTTCCATTACTATCTTATTCATCCTCGCAACTTCATTATAATCTCTAACCTTTTGAAATTCATAGGCTCCCGGATCAAAAGGTCGTTCAAAATCATCAAAATACTCCTCTCTATTTCTTCACATCCATAAAAAATAACACCTCATCGTCCAAATATATTTTCAATCAATTCTATCTCCACTTCTTTGATTAAGACTTTGTTTAGTAAAACTAACTAGTAGGTTAGAGCTGGTTGTCGATAGCTGATAACTAATAGCTTATAGTTAATAATTAATAACCGATATGCTAATATGAGTGTTTGATAAATTAATTATTTTATTAGCTTATAGATATAAAAAATCATTTTAATTAATAAGAATAATAATATATTATTGTTAAAGTAATAAGAATATAAATAGAAGAAAAACCCATAAACTAAAAGCTACTAGTTCAAGAACTACTTCAATAATTTAAAAAAATAAATTAAAATCTAATAAAAAAACTATAAACTAAAAGCTAAAATCAAGTTACTAAACAAAATTATTTTATTAATATAAATTAAAAAGTTAAAAATTAAAAGCTAAAAGAAAAAAGAATCATACCAAATAGATTATAATATTAAAGGAAATTCACTCCTCAAAATTCACCCGAAAAAACACTCTGATCATACTTGTTGGCACATTTCAGTAATTTATTATGAATTTTTTTGAACAAACAAATCTAACAATAACTTATTTAATTAATTAATTTAATACTTAAATTTTTTTTTTAAAAATAAATAAGTGAAATGTCGAACATTGAAACTCAATTTTATACCTCAATTTTTTATCTGATAATATCCTTGTATAGTTACAACAACTAATAGATTCTAATTAAATATATCTAACTTTTTATTAACAAATCATCGTTTTGCCTGCAAGATATA